GAAAGGATCCCAATGAAATGTGGACAAGGTGGATGTTATGTCCTCAGAACGCAGATCTGTCATTTTCTGCATTGTTCAGGAATACATTGGGATTGAATATCTCTTTCCCACCAATTCACAGGCTCCATGCAGGACCAGGGAGAAAACCAGTGTAATGTTATCGTTAAATTGATGTTGCATACAACTTTATGATAGCCCTGACAACTGCAGTTTGTGAATTTGAGCAACCTAATAAGTGATTTTCAGAGGTGAACACTGGACTGTGTGGTAAAATAATCCTTCCCTTCAGAAGGGTAAAACTGCAATTTTCTTGTAGACATAATTTACAGAATTATTACTGACAATTTTAGAATTCCACTGGGTGAAACACTGGGGGCTTGAGAACAGAATTTCTTATCCTTTTAAGAACAGGCAAATTTTAAACAGACAGTGTGTCTGTAGCGTCTGTGTAATAACACAGGAGGAACCTGACCTGGAAAACTAATGGTGGATTCCTTTCCTTATTTAAAGTCTTCTGCCTGTCTGAAAGCTCAGGTGCTCTGTGGTTCACAGCTTTGGATAAGGTGTAAGAAGAGCTCAGGTTCATATCCCAATTTCTTCTCACGTACTTTTGGAGTGCAGTCGAGTGCATTTAGAACTGGGTTTTTCACAGGAGTGCTGCTGCATAAAAAGACCTTGCCAGAGCTGCTTAGATTTCCTGCCCTGAGGAAACCCAGACGTTCATGTAATTGCTTAGATTGCAAAGCACAGTGAAAATTGTTCAGTTGGAGTGTCAAGAAGGAAGAGAGGCATCTAAAAAGGTATAGCAAATTATTCTGATATGATGTTTAGATTTCCTGTGGAAAGTTGTTGTAGTGATCTCACAGGAACAAGGAGAGAGGGAACAGGGTTCAACAGAGGTGTCATATCTCCTGTTGGTTTAGACCCAATCCTGCAGACTTATTGCAAGCACACGAAGATTTCCACCATCACCAATGAACTGCTGAAAATCAGGGCTGGTGATTTCAGTGAAATGGGGGTGGGTGGAGTTGTGTGACTCACACTTGAAGGCCATCATCATCATCATCATCATCATCATCATCATCATCATCATCATGGCTAGGCTTTGGGAACAATGATTTGGGAAGGGCTCTACCCGTGTTTGTTGTAAGGGCCTTGTATTTTTGTTGTTTGTTTGTTGAAGGCCACTTGTACAGCAAAGCACCCTGTGCTTGTTTGATTCCTTTGTGATACAAATGAAGGCATCAAACTTGTTTCTTTTTTTTTTACTTGGAAAATGTCTTTCACCTTGGGCTGGACACCTTGCAGGATTCAGTACGAGTTAGCTTTAGGAAAACCTGTGCAGTTGTATCTGTTCTTTGTAAATTCTGACATCCAAGGGTGCATCAAGTGGACTGCCAGGACAATTCCAGGTGCAAGGATGTCAGGCCTGGCAGTTTTCATTCCAGCTCTTGTGGCTTTCTGTGGTTGAGGGAGTGATTTGGCCACTCCTGTTCACAGCTCCTGCTCACAAGGTCAGGGCAAACCTGGTTTGTAGCAATGCCCTGTAATGGACTCTGAACCAAAGGGGGGTAAAATCAACCTGTTCCCACTCTGCTGGTGACTTCTGCAGAAAGTCAGCATGGATAATTTGTCAAATACAGCCAAAATGGGCACTTTCCTAGAGGCCCCTCTGACTCACAAAAGGGCTGCAGCCCCAGTGCTTTGCAGGAGTGCAAAGTATTCATCAGCTGGTTTCAGTCCTTGCCTTTAGGGGAAGCACTTTGAGGGGAACTCAGTAAGAGTCATTTAGAAGGATGTACTCAAGCCTTCCCTTCCCTGCTCAGAATTCCTCCCCTGGCACTCTGCTCACAGTCATCTGTTGAGCAATTCTTGCATTAGTCATACTCACCTGAAAATATGTTTTTTGACAAAAATATATATTCTTGGTGCCAAGTTTTGGACAGATTTTCAGATATTTACTAGAGTGAGCAGCCCAGATGTAGCAAAGACACAAACCAAGTAAACTCCTTTCTTCAAGGAAGTCTAAATAATGTAGGTGATGTCTAAAATCAAGCAGCACACCTAACAGGACTAGCTGAAAACAAGAGGAGAAAATGTACTTTAAAAGGCAGTTACCTTCCACATTCTAAACTCAGGAGCAGAATTAGTGGATAATACAACAGGGTTAACAAACAAAAAAAACCCCAACATGTTAAACTGATCTTCCAACATTCATCATCATAACCTACTTGGTCTGGCCTGAAATGACCTGACAGTTCTTCATTAAAAAAGAAATGGTTAAAACAGTACTGAGTATAAATTGCTTGGGTGAAGCAGCACACAATGAAAATCAAAGCAGAGCTGGAGAAAAACATAGTCCTGAGCCAGAGTAAAGTAGAATGTTTTGCTGGAATATCTAGATTATCAAAAATTAAAATTGTTTAAACTCATCCTTTGCTGGCTGCTAACCATACTGGTTTTAATATGATCCACACGAGGTGTTTCAGGTGTGCCAGTGGAAAAAAAATAAGGTTTGTTTATCATAACACAGTTTTACAGAGTTATACAAGGTAGAATTTTCCCCTTTTGGCACTGAAACCTGAGCCAGTCCAAACCCAACACCCCCAGTTGTTAGAATAAGGCTTTGTCTGCTGTGTGCAGACATGTTATGAATTTTCAGGATACTGTGATCTGACCTCTTTTAATTGAGGAAATAAATAGGGGCCTCAGAGACAGCAACAGGAAATGTTGATTTTTCACTATTTCGAAAAGCATTTCCCATGAATCCTTTTTCTGATATAAGGACTGAAATGTATGTTCTCCTCAGCTTAGATGGAGGGATCTAACAATGAATGGGAGGATCTTCCAGTGATTTTACAAATTCCTTAATTTCCATTAGCTCGTGGTGGATGTGAACCATGGAAACATGTGTCTCACTCAGTGCCAACATTTAAAACTGCACCCAGACTTTATTAGATGGGGGGAAAAAAATGGTTCATATTTTATTCTTCCTTTAAAACTGGTGGAATTTCAGCCTGGTACAGATCAGCTAATTGACACACAGGGGGGCAAAAAACGGGCATCACATATTTATTGTCCATTTTTAATGTTTTTTTTTTCCTTTCTGAACCCAGACTCCAGGCCAGCCTCCTGTCCGAGTTTTCCTTCGTGCCTTATTGTCTATTCTGTTCAGCTATTTAAAAAATGTTGAATATCAACAATGGCTTTCAGTGGTGTATTGTCAACTTTTGTATGAAGCAATCTTGGTTGAATGAGAAGATCCCAGAGCTTATAGTTCTATCTACTGTGCTGCACTGGCTTTCTGCTTGAATGTGTGTGACTGATAACGGGACACATTTCTACCTTCGTTATTCCATTTCAGCTCCGTAATTCATTGGCCAAAAATCTTTTAGGAAATATCTTTATAACACGTTGCACGAGACATCAGGTAAGTGCTTGTAAGGTAAAAATAAGTACAGATCCAGCAGCTGCCTGGTCAAATTTGTTTGTTAATTGTGGGTCTGCTCCTGCTCGGTTGTTTTGCAGCCTTTTTCCAGTTTTGGGGGTAGCTGTGTGTGCTGTGAAACAGCTCCAGCAGAACATCTTTGCTCACAGAAAGAAATTTGTACTGGATCTGCGTTGCTTTTGAAGTCTAAAAGCAGTATTTTGAAATACCTGGGGGGAAATGCTGCAAATGGATTTTTCAAGTAACAGGTTTTGCCAGTTATTGTCACTGTGCAAGCTCATTTCTCACTAGAATTTGTGGTACTAAAACTGTTTAAAGCATCTTTTTGGGTTTTTAACTGGTTGGTGGCCTTCACAGCGGTATGTATTTTTATTTTGCATAGGGGATAATTGTAATTTAACTTCTATGAACTCAGTCACCAATGTATCTTTGAAAGCTGGTTTTCTAGACCCTCTTTTCAGGAAATCCAAGGATTCCCCAACAGGGTTCAGTTTATTCATTCATTGCAGTTAACAGGTGGCAAAACAGGTAAAACACAAGCAGCTATTTTCCTTTCATTCTCCATCTCTTTTGTTGACAGTTAATGTGATTTTGGAAGGAATTAATTTGAGAGATCACTTTTCTAAGTTATTTGATTGTTACAGTGACATAAAGGGATGCTGCTGTGTAGGATTTGCTCCAGCTGAAGTAAAAGAAGCAGAATTTCCATTGCAGCCTGTCTTTTGCCCAGGTTAGGAGAGCAGGACCCAGCCCATCATCTTCTACATAAAAAAATTAATTAATGCCTTCACCATGCATCCCATTTAATAGGTTTTACTTGGACCTTTTGGGTTTTTATGCAGTAAGAAAAAGTAAAGACAAATTCCCAAGGTACTCCTTATTTAGAGGTATTCATTCAGTTATACTCTTGTCAAATAGATGAAAGATTTCTCTGGTTTAGAAAGTGTATTAAAAAAGTCTCAAAAGGCAATTTATTTGAGTGGAAATTCAAGCTTTAAGAAGAAAAACTGCCATTTTTATACCTGTACTCTGATACTGAGCAGTGGCAACAGAATTTTTGGAAACAACACATTAATGGTGAAGGTCTGCTTGCTAAATTGCTCATTGGTACCTTGTGTGTTTAGAGTTTTTATAGTTTTGAAACATTATGCACATGTCAATTCATGCCATTGTTATATTGATTACTGTAACACTCAAAGTAAGAGGATTTAATGAAAAACTTAATAATGAAAATTTATTTTTACCTGAAGGAGTTAAGGATTTTTTTTACAGGTAGTATTACATGGATGGGACAAGCACTCAGGTAGGGTAAAATGTAGGACTATTTCACATAATAAACCAGATACAATAATAATAATAATAATAATAATAATAATAATAATAATAATAATAATAATAATAATAATATAAACATAATGTCACTGCAGAGTTTGCAGAGGAAAAGAACAAAACTTTTTCTGATTTTTGTCTCTTGAATTACTCAAACAAAGCTCTCTGTAAAAACAAACAAAATTCCATTTCACTCTAAAATTGGACTTTCTTTATGTTTCAGTCTTGGTGTTTAAAGAAAGGAGATTCCAAAGTGAGAAAGCCCAAGAGAAAAGTTTCCTGAGGACCTTGAGGAAGATGTGAAAGCAGCAGCAAAAAGAAAGGTACAGCTGACATGTTTTACCCACACAACACAGAAACCCTTCCATCCTCTCACGAGTGTCCAACTGATGAGCCAATTGTTAATTTTATTGCAAAATCCTCTTCTGGATTTAATTAAGGTATTTACTAGTTGCTAAGTCAACACCTCAGCATTTCCTTAGCACATTGGAGTAATTTATACTCTTTGAAAATACAGGCATTTGTTAAGTGTCATGATGATGCCTGTGGTTAAAACAACCCAAATACCCTGGCAATGGATAGTTGTGACAAAATTGTGTGGGTTTAAGAATGTATTATTTTTCTATTTTATTATTTTTAATAGGCTCTGCAATGATCTTTTTATTTCAGCCAAGGCTAAAACTCATAGAACTTTATTAAGAGGATAAGATAGGTTAAATCTTATTTATTATAGGTTTAATCTTATAGGTTATAATCTTATTATAACCTATTATAGGTCAAATCTTATTAAATCTTTGTTGGATCTGCTTTACTCTGTACAATATAACATGTAGGAAGTTTCTAGTCTGGTATTTTCCATTTTTAAAAATCTTTTTATTTGTAGGGGGACAAGTTAATTGCCTTTTAAAAATAAAAGACTCTCTGTGGCATGTGATGTTTAGAAAGCTTGCAAGTCTGAATTACAACTTGATTCTCCTGTTCTCTTTAGCTACATGTGACCAGTTCTAGTTGTTCAGACGATGGACACTGGAAGCTTTTCCTTAGTTTGGCACTGTCCATATGTGCAAAGGAGGATGTTTAAAGTGTCGTGTAACCCTTGGGGTTTGCTGATCTCCAAGGGTGGCTCTTCCCTGCAGGCACCAGGCTGCCTCTGGGCCTCAGAACTCTCAAAACAACATGTTGCATTTTGACAGAATTGCTCTGTAGGAGTAACACTCACAGGCATTAGAAATTACTCATAATTATGAAGTAAGAAAGATGCTCCTTTTCGTTTTACAAGAGGAGAAATTGAAGTGTGAACTTTACTTGTCTGGGTCTTAAGCTGTGCCAGGGGAGGTTTAGGTTGGATATCAGGAAGAAATTTTTACAGGGGGAGTGCTCAGCCATTGGAATGGGCTGCCCAGGGAGGGGGTGGATTCACCATCTCTGGAGGTGTTGAAGGTGAGACTGGACCAGTGCCATGGGCTGGGAACCACGGCGGGGTTGGATCCAGGGTTGGACTTGATGATCTCAGAGGTCTTTTCCAACCTGGTTTATTCTATGATTCTATGAGAAGAGTTAGATCCTGCCAGTGGAGGTGAGAGATCAGAACCCAGTTATAGAGTCCATCCCTCTAATTCCATGTGATCTGTGTTCCCACTCATGGTATGGAAAATGCTCTTTATCTTCCAAATGCCTTCACTGCCTCACTCCACACACAAACTCACTGTACATATTTCTTGCCTTTCCAATACTCTTTTTTTCCCCCCTATATAATCTGATGTATATTCTGTGGCACTTTTCAGTAGGGGATGATGTCTCACTCATTCAATGTTTCCCTCATCCTAAAAGATCAGGAGAGCCCTTTGCCAGCCCAGCTGCCCCAGCCATTCTTTCTTTGTCCATGTACAACCCCAGAGGTGGCACAGCCTCCTGCATGCAAAGGAATCATTGTTCCCTCCATCACTGTTCCCTTGGAGAGGGGAATACAAGAAGGGTTTGGAACTTTTTGGAGGGTGTGGTAGACATGTAAATCCAGGCTTTTAGATGGGTATCTGCCTTAGGCTGTAGAATTCCTGTGACTTGAAAAGGCAAAGATCTTCCCCAAAATCAGCAAGGAATCTCAGCAGGACTAAGACAGCTCACACAAGTTGGGAGGATGAGCTAAATCCTTTCTTCTTTCTTTTTTCTGGATCCTACCCACTTTGAAATTGTGATGGTTTGAGACCCCCAGAAATCCAATTCCCAAGTCCAAGCCCCCCCCTCCCACAGCTCACCCCAGTGTGAGAGGGGTTTTGCAGACACAAGACTCAATATGGGGGGAAGGGAATTATATTACAAATATTACACAAATATTATAATACATTATATACACAATCTTAACTATCAATCCTCTGATAAAGCAGTATTTACATTGGATCAAATCTCTTTTCCCTCCAATAAAAGTCCAGAAGGGAAGAAGGAAAGATCCTTTCCACGCTCAGGGCAGCAGTGTCTCCCCTCTTCAATGCAGCAGTCGTAGTTGGATCTCTCTCTCCATTACAGAAACAAACCAAGTTCCCCCCGTGTGTTCCTGCCCAGGGGGTGTGGGGAGCAGGACAAGCTGCTCAGCCAAGTGTCCTTCCAGGGGAGCTGCCCAAGGTCACTGTTGTGCTCTTCTCACACATTATCCATTATCCTGCCAACACACTGATACTGGACCTGTAGTTTTCTTATAAAATAAAAAACTGAGTTTAATTAAATCATCAGTAACTTGGACCTAATTATTTCAGACAGTATTTAATTAATGTTTCGTGGATACCTAATGTAATTAGGGTTCCTTTAATAAGACCTTCTATGACATTAAAATATATGACCTTTATCTTTCTTATCATCCATAGTCTGACAAGTCAGATTTGTCATTTTCACTATAGGTATAGTTTGATTAAATAGAGCAGAACATAAAATTAATCTGCCAAATTGTACTTGTTTGTTTCTCTTTTTTTTTTTGCTACTTAAAGACTAATAAGTTAAGTCTCTTAATTAGCAGTGTCGGTACAAATGTTCATGCTGGCGTTTTACCTTTGTGTTTTTTCAGGCTGTTTCTTTTGTATATCATTTTTTATGACAGAAGGAGATAACAACCAGACTTTATTAATCACCATGAAGGGTTCAATCTTTTAGATATGAAAAATAAGGGGCTATTCTTTATAGCAACAATGACTGGTGATTTTTTTTTTTTTTTTTTAATTTAAGACAATCCTGCAAGGCACTTAACTTTTCTGGTCACAAACTTCCCAAACGTAAAACTGTAGTTTTAATGTGAATGAACATAAGTGAGATTACCAGGCTGGCCAATACTTGCTTTTCAGGAGCTACAGGTTCTCTCTTCTCCACTGTTGGTTTGGGGTAATCACCAAGATCCAGCAAAAGATCATTTGTAATATGCAAAACTTAAAGAGAATGTGGTTGAAGGGATATTATAAGCTTTGTTGGAACAACACTAATCTGATCTTGTTTCCTCACTCCCTAAAGAACTTTCCTATCTGACTTTCAAAAGTAGAGCTGCTCCAGTGAGTTCACTCCTGTTGGATTAAGTCCCACTCACTGAGTTAGGGCTTGCTAATGCCTGGAAAATTTACCTTATGGGTAAGAGTTTTGCTAAGTCTGACATCCATAAATCCTGTTACTTTAATTGAGGACGAGGGCAGCTCCTCAAGGTATGGGAAAAAAAGAGGCATTAGAAGTTAAACAGGCAGAATGCAACCCGGCTGCTTAAGAATAATGCTCCATGCACAACAGAAATACAGGTAGAAGGTACAGAAGTCTATAAATGGAACAGTTTCAATCTATTTCTATTTGTGTTTTGGTTATTTTGAATGTTGGATCTTTGGAATATGGGTAATGTCCATGAACTCTGTGCCTAGTAAAAATAGAAAATCAGAACTGATTTTTTTTTCAGGTGTAAAATAAAAGGGTTTGGTAAATTGGTAATTAAAAAGACAACACAAAGATTAAGAAGTTAAAGTGAAGTATAGTGAACTCTTTAGTCATTACACTAAGAAGAAACTGAGGAGTGATTCTTTAAAGAAAGGAAACAATTTATATTGTTTTGCCTTCTCCCACTCAATAAAAACTAGAAGGACAAAGCTAACTCTTGGCTCAGAACCAGTGCAGATGCTGAGGTGCAATATCTTTGCTTTGTTTCCAGCAGAGAAAGCAGAGAAGGAGCAGTTCACTGACTCAGGCTTTTATTCTCTTCATAGGAGTTTTAACACCAGAGATGCTGTCAGGGGAGAGAACATGTTAAACAACTTATTGAAAACTACAGAGTAGATTTCAGGCAATAGTCTTTGAGGAAGAGGGGAGTTCCCTCTGCTCCACTTCAGAGAAGAGCAGAAATTCATGCTGAAATTTAAGCCTCTGAAGAATCCCATTTAAATCTGTGAAGGTATTCCCACACTTAAAATTAAACATGAGCTGAAGGGTTTTGCTCCACAGGCAAGAAAGGGGCTTAGTGAAATGCCTGGTCTACAAAGGTTGTGTCATTGTTGAGGAGAAATGAGCAAAAAGCTGTAGTTGTGGTAATTAAGGGTGGGAAAACTGCAGCCTAAAGGAATAAAGTGCCGAGAAAACACTGAACACCTCATTTCCTTGGATTAATTCTAATATTCTGCCTGGAGTAGTCAGCAGTTTAATATGTGTGTGACCCAAAATTTAACAGGAGGGTTATGCAGCAGCATCACCTGAGTGGGACTGCTATTAGTACATCTTCATTTCCTTTTGCAGCTCTGAGGTTTTTCTTACTGACATAGCCAGGCACTGCTTCAGATCTATTAATGTCTCTAAAGATGAGCTGTAACCTTCTAGTAAGTCCTGTTCACTGTGGATTTGTAGCAAGGCCATCAAACTGTGGAAATATCTGATGTCCAAGAAAGAAAAAAAAAAGCCATCAGGCACCAGAGAGAAAGAAACAGTATCTGAAAAAATGACACCAGCATCTTCTTATAAAAAATTACAGATATCCTTGTCTAGAGCCCATGATCTCCTTCCCATTCCCATTAAAGCAGCCACACTCAGCACACAGCAACCCCTGACTTCATACATTGAATAAAATTGTCACTTTAATTCAATAAGTCCCTATTAGTACCTATAGGTTGTTTGCTGATTGCAGACTGTGATTAGTGTTGAGAACACAGTCACTAACCAGTACAAGCAGTATTCAATTAAGATTTAAAAATGTAATAAAGCCAGTGACCAAGATTCCTCCCACTTGCCCCAATTCCCAGTAGGGGAAGAGGATGGGAAGGGGTTAAGCCCAGGGAATTTATCACTCCACAAACAGGCAGCTGCACAATTCCACTCCCATTGCTGCCCTGAGTCTGTGCTGAGCAAAGTCTCCCACCGAAGAGGGTTTTGGGGATGGGAGAAGAGGAAAAGGATCTTTCCCCTGGTCCTTCCCCATTCCCCTGTTCTACAATCTTTTGCATTCCATATTGATGAACTGATCATTCTCTCCTTGCAGTTAGTCCCTGGTATTTTACATAACACACCTCTATAGTCACCACAGTTAGATTCCATTAACACAATGAAAATTGAATTACAGTGGGCCTCTATCTGAATAGAAACCACCCAATCTATCCATGGATATTCAAGCAAATATGATTAATACGAAAAAATCTACAGGATAAAAAATCTCGATCAAAGCATGTAAAAACAAATTAATCTGATTACACAGATTACTGAAAACTGGTCACCTTGGCTACATTAGGACCTTTAAAAGCAAACACAAATCAGTGAATCATTTTAATCAAATTTAATTTAGATTATACACTTTCACATAAAATCTAATTTAGTTGGAATTACTCGGTCATGACTTGTCTGCTCCCCACAGGACAAGGTTAAAGAGATTACATTTGGGTTCATGTCAGCAGCATCTGCTAGTTAGCTCCCTGAATGCTGATTTAATGAGAGAGGTTGTACTCAGTCTCTTGGAAAGACTTCTGGTTTAGGCAGGTGTCTGAGAGATGTTATTAATTTAGTATGATACAAGGAGTGATGTTATCATGCTTGGAAAACTCTTGTATCATTATTTTCGTGTGCATAATAACCCTGGTGGTTTTGTTTACAACTGTTTAGCAGGTTTGGAGGGTTTCCCTCTAATCTGTCTCTAATACACTTCCTTAGAGTGAGAGAGGAGATTCCTAGTAAAGAAATAACAGCTCTTTTAATATGAGTAATTATCTTGGAGCTTGTCTATAAAGGGCTTGTCTATAAAGTGAGCATTAAGCTACAATATGAATTTACAGAGAACAAGAAGGTGCCAAATCTACAAGCAGGCAATGCCTTATTGCCTCTCACTGATGGAGAATCTCCACCTCCAGCCAATGCACAGAGAACACCTCCTGCCCCCCTGCTCTGCAAACAGACCTTTTAGTCCTGTGCACTCAGCAATCCAGAGTCAAATCGTATCCCACTTGGACAGGTAGCACAGAGTTGAAATTAATAATCTGCATTACAGTTAGTTACTAACTGATGACAAAAGAGTTTAAGTGAGTTCAGCCTTTGCTGCTGAACGTGGTGAGGGCAAGCTCTGTGCTGATGGAGCAGAACCAGAGGCAACGGTCTCGATTTCTGCTTCTCCAGCCCTGTGGCTGAAGAGGAGGAGCCAAAATAGTTCTGCAAACCTGTTGCTCAGCACCTGGCTCTGAACCTGAAGATTTCCAGTGGCACTGTGAGTCCCCAGGGTTGCTAAAGGCATGGCCATGGTTCTGCAGGCAGAAATCAGGGCATCAGCTGCTTGCTCAGGGACCTGCTGCCCCTCTGACCTAAGGCTGGATGTGCAGAAACAGGACACAAAGAGGTAGAATTTCCCCAAAGGAGAGAAAGGGCAGACTGAGAAACTCTGGACATGTGTAAACTTACCTGATTCCCTAACCCAGCAGGTAAACTGTAGGCTTGAATCCCCTTAACTGTCCTAAAAGCATGGCCCTGCCTCTCCACCAGCCTCTCATCTTAAAGTCGTTTTCTTGTGGAAAAGATTAGCCAGGAATTCATTCGGGGTAAATCATCACCATTTCACTGAAATCAATAGGAGTTGCACCAATTTTAGATATGCTGCATGTTTTCTGCTATTTTTTTTAAAAAGCGCTTTTTATGGTTCTCCAGAAGGAAAATGAAGTACTGCAGCTAATTAATCCTAGAAGTTCTGATAAAGAATTTTGAGTAACAGTTGAAATTAATTACAAAATTTCACTATTTTGATGCAGAATTTCCCTGGTGGAGGAGTTTAAAACTCTCTCTGTAATTACCATAACAGCATAAGGGTCGAGCCATTAAAATAATCTCTGGCAATTCTGTGTGATTCCTGTTATTTATGAAGAATGCTGCAGACACAATGTTCTTTGCTACACCCTCTGTTTTCTGTAGGTCTTCTACCCTTTCTCTTCCCCTATGTAGAAATGGTCAATCCTTATATATGTACTGGAAGAATGTACATCTCCAGAATTAATAAATCCACCCTGAAGAAATGCCATTTATGTATGACACCCATAATCATAGCAAAGAAAACTGGGCAAAATTGAGAAAAATGGGGACATACCTTATTACATTTACCTTCTATTCTGGCATACTTTTCTTATTAGCAGTGCAGACAAAAAGACAGCCCTCCTATTTTATTTTAAATGAGCCTGATAGAAGTATCTCATTCACTTCATTTTCATATGAAATTGCACTGTGGAGCCTGGTCCTCCTTGCCTTTACTCCAGAAAAATACCTGCTGCTATGCCTGGAAACAAAGTCTGTGTAAAGATGCCAGGGTTAGGGTGTGGGATATGCACTTGTGCCCTGGATAAGCACTGGTATTTGTTCTCTGTTGCATGTTGCATTCCCAAATCATCTTTTAAAGGGGGAAATGTCCAAATACTGCCCTGAACTTGGTCAGCCTTAGATAAAAACTTGTCTAAGCCACACACAAGTGATTCCATGTGGAAGTGGCACAGTTCTGGACCAGCTGGGACAAGGTAAAGACATATTAAGCTTGTATGAATATATTTCCCAAGGTGGTTCTAGTGTTGAAATCCCAAATAATTCCAACATCCAAATGACCTGTTTGAGTTTAGGGAAGTTTCACTTTCACAAAATATGGAACAGGAGTTAGTGAAGTTTTCTGCCAGTGTTATGTTTGTATAATCCTGATACAAATGTATGTCATTTACAGCGTGTCCCTGCTGCCCTGAAATGTGTTTCCATCCCCAGGATTCACAGGAGTGAAATTCAAAGAAGCAAAACCAAAATAAAGTGAAACAGAGTCAATATTTTATTGTGCAATATAGCATTCTAAATTTGAACTCTTAAGCATTGAAAAAGCAGATTTTGACACATCCTGTGTTTGATGCAGAAATTTTGATCTGAGAGCAGTGAGGAAAGGAACACAATAAAAAATAAAAACCAAATGCTGGCCCTAGCAGTGCCAAAAAACCGACAGAGTTCATACTGAGTTCTGAACTGCCCAATTTGAATCTCCTTCTATGGAAATTATCACAATAAACATGCAGTCCAATCCAAAATACAGTACAGACACCAAAAACCTCCTGCTTAGTTCAATCTCATGAAGGAAAGATAAACAGCATTGTCACTCATCAAAATTAAGGTTTTTAGAAGACTGGGAAGAGGAGTGCTCAGTTTGCTTACCCCTTTCAATCACCTCACTTGATAGCTATTTAATTCCTGAGATTACAGAAGAACAAGCAGAGCCTTTCACATACTGTTTCTGTCAGAAGTCTTCAGAAAAACAGTTTTTTCTGCTATTGCAGTAATTTTTATTTATAGACCATTTCTAATGCAAATATTGGCCTAAAATCAAGTGCCAAGGAAGCTGACTGACTTGGCAATAGAGATGGAGTAGGAATGTAAAGGATTAGAGTGCTTAATGTACTGGAAAGAAGTTTATCAATACTGACAATTCTCACAGTGCTTAATCAAACATTTAAGACAAGTGGAGAAGCAGACAGCAAAGGCTTTGGGGCTCTTGAACAATAAAAGCAAACAAACTGTCTTGTTAGAACATGTCAATTCATGCTGGAATAAAGAAACACCTACAATTTAGTTACTCTTTTCATATAGATAACCAGTGGCTTTAGGTAGTGAACTGACTTTAAAATGACTGTAAGCAACTCCTGAGGAAAATGAAGTACAATTTTGTCCTTTTGTAATCAAATTTTACTGTTAGGTTTCATTTAAAGCTTGACAATTATTAAGGAGGATTGTGATTTAATTCTTTTTCTTAAAGACCGTTTTGTTTTAATCAGCACATAGTAAAAGATATAAGGTCTGACCCTTCCCATTTCTGGTTTGATTTCAGTGGTATAGAGATAAATGTAAATTAACTCAGCATCAGTCACGTGTCATTGGATTTACACTCATATGAGGATGCTCTTAATCTTAATCTTAAACTTGGCCTCCTGACAGCAGAACTAAAGATGTGTAAATATTTTTAAGAAAATAGGTGCTGTAAGACCAGGAATGCTAAATGCACACATGACAAAGCAGCAGGAATATCCTACAGATCATGTGAGCAGAGAGAAAGGGAATTTCCTTCCTCCAGATAATCTGAGAAGCCAACTA